CGGCGGCGATCGGCCCGGGCCTCTCCGTGCGCGGTGCCCGTGGTTCCGAGGTGCAGGGCCTGCCGTGTGCGGCAGTGGTGAGCTGCCGGGTTCTTAGAGCAGATGCAAGTTGTTTTGCTGTTGGGTTACTTGTTTTTTTGTTTTGTTTTAAATCCTTTTTTTTCTTCTTACTGTGTGCTTTCATAACAGGTGAGGGTCTGTGGTAGCAAAGGTACTGCCTTGCAGTGGTGTAATTCTTGCTAGCAATGGTGGGCCTGAACCCATCCATCCATCCATCCATCTGTCTATCTCTGTTTTCTAGCACACTGTGAGCTGTGCTAGTTGAGAAACTGAACTTAAGGTGTCTGACACGTGCCTGTTAGCAACTTGTTGCCCGTGTTGTTTTCTGTACCATGTTCTAATTCATCCTCTACCTGCAAATGACATACACCTAGGAGGCTGAACCCTGCCTGTCCCAGCAGAGCTTCTCTCCAGGCTGCATGCGGTAGCTCTGAGCTCAGCACTGAGGTGTGGATGATTTTGAGCTCACACCACAGGGAAGAGAACAGTCCCCATCCCAGCCAATAAGCCCTGCTCGCATGTGTGTTGTTCTAGACACATGTGGGTGAATGCCACAACATGAATCGTGGGCGCTGATTGCACTTAGAACAGTTCATATACTGTGCTGTGGTTTTCTTTTTCTAAACCATGAAGTGGGTTTGCCAATGCTTTGTAACACACATGGGTGTCAAAACATTGATAGCAATTGTCCTGTTAAAAAGTGTTCCTGGATGGTAATACTTTCCCATTTTCTTGAGATTAAAGATAATAAAGAAACTCTACCAGGAGTTTTAAAGTGTTGATATTTCTGCATGATTTCTTAAACAATTAACAAATATTTTAAAATCATTATTATTTTTTTTAAGAACGTGTTATCCATTTCAAGTAACAATCGCACATGACTTGGTAAACTTGATATGAACTTTTCTCTTAAGGTGTTTCATCTTTCAAAGATTGGAGGTGCAGCTTTGGTGTGGGATGGGTTTGAGATTCTTTTATATCATCAGCACGTAAGAGACATGTGGACAGAGAAAGCGAGGAAGAAAATTGGAAGGTTGAGCTAAGAAATCTTAAGGAGAAATGAGTTCATTCGGACTCTTGTTTCGAAGCATTTTTTGTTTGCTGGAATGTAGGTAAATACCTAATTTAGTCAGAGTAAGTATATAAGGATGTCAGGTGTACGTCTTACAATTTGGCCTCGAGTGTGAGTATGTACATTTGAAGATATGGTAGTGACTAGATCCTTTCTCCTTTCCTGCTCCTTTATTCCTAAGAAAGCTTTCTTCTAGCGTTCAGCACAGATCAGGAAGTCTTCCTGTTCTGATCTGTCCGACCTTGGAGTGGGAGAGGGGAGAAAAAGAAGTTGGTTACTTTGCGTTTGATACTCTCCTTTCTTGTGTTTGCTTTAGCTTCCCTTGTGGAAGTTGTGTGAACTTTGTATCTCTTGACGTTTCAGGTGCAAAAGCGTATTTGCAGGGTGTCGGTTACACTTGATACAAAGAAGCGGTTCTCAGGATGTCCTGTTTCATTAAACAAAAACTTGTTGGTCTCTGACCTGAGAATCGTTAGCTGAAGCGAGAGGCTGCTGTTGGTTTGTTTGAACCTCTGTTTCTTTTTTAATACCCACCTTTAAGATGCTGATCCTTGTTTCTGAAGGAAGCAGTCTTTGTCATGTGTTGATGTTACCCTCGGGTACCCTGAACTTGCACTGAACTCTACAGAGGGGTCCGAGAAAAGCTAAGAATCAAAACTACCACTGAATGTAGTTCTGTAAAGCCTTTTGCTCTAGAGGGGCCTAAAGGCTCTGTGCAACAGCTGATGGGATTTAAGCCCCAGTTCCTGTTTTATTATTTGCAAACTGATGCTACTTATTACAGATGTATTTATGTGGATCTTGCGGAGTGTGTATTTCTCAACGGATGATGCTTCTGGTTTTGTCTCCTTTGTGAAAACATTTACTTAGGAAATCTTACTAGATGTGACTTTTTAATATTAGACTGAAATTCACAGTCTTCAATATTCTATTGCTGTAGCTCAATTGATGCAAATGATGTTAAACTTGTTAAAATTTTAACCTTGTAAATTACTTTGATTTTTCTCTTTGGTCAGCAAAAGGAAACTTTGTTTCCTTACAAGATAATGCTGTTGGAGGCTTGTAATGCTACAAGAAAATACATGAATTCAGAAAAGCTATTCTGCTGTTTTGTATTCTGAAGTGGCTTTCTTTCAACTCAGATGGTTCTGTATTTTTTCCTGCAGTCAGCATCTGGGGGTGAAGCTGTCCGATTCTTGCTCAGAGGCTGTAGGCTGTTACTTTCAGCATGCCAGCTGGGTGTTTGTATGGTCGCTATTACAGTTTGTGTTGGGACAGAGGCTTTCTGACAGCTGTGTCCTTAGGAGTCTGTTTGCAGGTGACACAGCAGCAGGATGGTGGCAGGACTCTGCAGGTAGGGATGTTTTTTGTTTTCTTCTATCAGTTGTGAAGATTGAGCGAAGCTCTGCTTTTCCTTTAATTTTGAAGGACTGGGGGTTTCTCATGAGAGGGGATGAAAACTGAGGAGTCAGTAGATCACCGGTGCCGAGTTGGGGGAGCAAATTGCTTATAGGCTTTGAAACATTTTTATTAGGGCCTCGGCACACAAACAAGCCACGGTGCATCATTTGACACCGGGGTAATTGTTTTTTCATGTTCCAGTTCCATGTGAGTGTCGCTGATCTAATTGCGTGCCGTTGCTGAAAGCCGTCCAATTCTGCCGCATCCTTTATGCGCCCGTCCAAGTGTGCGGTCAGTCGGGTAAGGGAGCTGAACTGTCTGAAAAATGAGCAGCACCAGAATGCTTGTGGGATGATTCAGCTCGAGCTCTGCGCTCAGCAGCGCGGGCCCGACACCGACGTCAGGGAGATGGTGACGGCCTGGGAGTCTGCTGGGGCTGTTCCTTCTGGGGAAGGACGGGGTGCTTCAGCCAGCTGAAGGTGACTCGGGATGTGCTGTGATGATGTGAAGCTACCCTACGGCTGCTCTAGGTCTTCTAGAGTGCAAACACAGTGCATATGATGAGAACTACTGCATTAGCTTCTTTCTTATTTAAAATATCCACACAACCGTGGTGTTTTTTTTCTCTGTTGAGTTACAATTTCAGTTGTGTCGATGGTGGTTGAGGAAGGAGACGGCAGAGAACTCGCACCCAGTAGGATGGCAGTGCCATGGGTTTCGTAGGCAGTGCGGTGTGCTGTGTTGTTCTCAGAAATGTTTGCTGCTGTTTTCTAGCATCTGCCACTTCCTCTTCCCCTGCCCTCAAATGCTAAACGTGATTCAAAGTGAAAATGACAACTTATTTTTAGGCCGTTTCAGTGTTCATTCTATGTAACTTCGTGCACCTTAGCGTAAACGGAAAGAGAGGATCTGTGGGACTGGGACACTGGCACTGTACACTGACACTGACCTTCATTGTTTGTGACACAGCAGAGCGTTTCAGTCAGCAGTATGGTTGCTGTTTAGTAATTGGTTTCTTAATAAGTAACCAAGCACTAAGTGATTCATTTCTTCAGGGAATCCTGTGCTGTGAAAGTATTCGAGAAACAGGGAGGAGAGGGAAAACTGGCACTAAATCCGACAGCTGCACCATCACCTTGTTCTAGTTATTAACAGTATTTTGATGAAGGTCTTGGTATTTTGGAAGGTGATCTGGAAGGCATGTAAGTGATGGTAAGAAAACCTGTGAGGTCCCTGGCAAGGATTTGGGATTCATTTTCAGTGCTGCTATTGGACATACGTAAACTGACATGATTTTTAGCTCCAAAAGAGGAGCATTGCTGTTGTGTACATTGCTCCCACAGCTAAGGACCAAACCACTGCATGGCAAAGTGAGCTGTCCTGCACTTGTTCCTTTAGACTGAGACTGAGGTGTTGAAAGATGGACCCAGGAGGACTGTTAAGATTCCAAAGTGTGCCTTCCCTTTGTCTTATTTTAAAAATTTTTTAAATTTCCTTATTTTTCATAAGGCACGCTTCAGAATTATTATTTTTTAAAAGGAAAAAAAAACAAAACAAAACATATACAGTAAGTTGAGTACAGTTTACATGCAAGCCCAGAGAAACACACACAGCTGAGTGGTCCACCAAGCTGAAAATGCTGCTGCTGTTGTTCCTAACTTACTGTGCAGTGAGTTGCAAACCTGCAGCAGCCTGTTTGTCTGCCGAGGCTTGGGGATTTTTATCTGCTCAGACCTCACCTATTAAAAGCACAAAATAGTTGAATAACAGGTCGTATCTTTTCATAGAGCCATAGAATCATTAAGGTTGGAAAAGACGTATCTTCTTGGAGTGGGTAGTTTTTCATCAAGGTCTGTTTATTTCAGTAGAGGTTGTGTATGTTAAAATAATACGTGTTCTGCAGGGGTTACTGACTTATCTTGTGAGGTCACAAATAATTGGGAAGCGTGTGAGAAACAAAAAAACGTTTTGGGCTAATTGTGAATTCTTCACAGAATCACAGAATGGTCCGGATTGGAAAGGACCTCAAGGATCATGAATCTCCAAACCCCTGCCACATGCAGGGCCACCAGGCTCCCCATTTAACACTAGATCAGGCTGCCCAGGGCCCCATCCAATCTGGCCTCGAACACCTCCAGGGACGGGGCATCCACAACCTCTCTGGGCAGCCTGTTCCAGCACCTCACCACTCTCATAGTAAAGAATGTCCCCTGACATCCAAGATCTTCCCTCCCTCAACTTAAAACCATTTCCCTTGTCCTGCAGTTACCAACCCTTTCAAAGAGTTGATTCCCCTCCTGTTTGTAGGCTCCCTTTAGGTACTGAAATTCTCCAGTTTCTACCTCTGTGTCCCGTTTTCCTTCCAAGCTGCTCCTCTCAGAAATCAAAGCGATCCAGAGAAAAGTAATTGCATGTTCCTGCAATTCCTAATGTTGTGGTGCTGAGGCAATAACGAGCGGTACGGGCTATTCAGTTTGATTGATGGTCAGATGTAGTGCAACAATTACTGTAATTCTATTTGGAGCTTGTTTTGGGTAATGTGCTGTATAGCAGAATAGTTAAGGCTGGGCTGAGTGCTGGTTTTGGTGAGATTGAACTCGCATCTTGAGATCAAGGTAGCTGACTGGCAGATTTTATTGTTGTCCTGCTGTGGAAATGTGTCCTTTGGAAAGATGTACAATGAAACTTATTGTTAAGCATATTAACTATTGGTGTGGGGGGAAAGCAGCTGCACTTTGGGGAACATTTCAGTATGTGCAGTGCTTGGGGAAGAGTCCGGAATGGGGTTATCTTTTAGCTGGTGTCTGAAAGAGTCGGCACACAGCTGCGTTGTGCAGTGCCCGTCTGACTGAGGAGTTAAGTTGTGATGCTGTTGATTCATCTGTTGAGATTCGGATGCTGAATTATTCTGCAGTGTCATGCAGAACGAAAATATGAGCACTTGGGCCTGGTTGGAAGGTAACGGTGCTTTGAGCGTCAGTCGCAGTGGCTGTGTGCTGTGTGTTCCCCTGCTGCTCTTCTGTCACAAGCAGAGCTGGGGTAGGAGGTGAGGGGCAAAGCTGAGGGTAATGCTTTATAATGCAATGTAGAAAACATTGGTCATACTTAAGATCTGAAATTTTTCCACTAACGAAATTCAGATTCCTGTTACGGTAATGTTTAAGAAACATGACAGAATCATCACAGAAGTGAATTAGCTCATTATTCCCCTTACAAAAGCATGTCTTATGCATTCAGAGTTAAACGTTGCAGAAATACTGGCAGGAGAAGGAAAGAAACCAGCTAGAATTTCTTCTAGGTGGGGCTGGCAGTAAAAAATATCCCTGCTTTTTATTTACTGTCTGACATCACAATTTCGACATCAAATTTTAAGATCTGTGTTTGTAGTCCAGCCTGCTTTCAGCTTAGAGCTGCGTGAATTGTAACTACTGGTACATCTGTTGTGGCTTTTTCCCTGCTTCCACTTTTTCCTTTTGAGATTAAGACGACTTTCCGTCATTCTCTTGGCTTGTCATGAGCTTTTCTATTTCTGACAAAGCTGTAAAGTATCCTTTTAAAAAGTGATTTAATTTCCTTTTTTGTCACTTAAATCTGACTTCAAAGTCTTTTTTTATTTGGTTTCCCTTCTCTCTCTGAGAGCACTAGGAATATTTGGTGTTGGTTTTGCTTCTTTTCACGATTTACCAGAAAGGAAGAAATCAAAGAACTAAGATGAATTTCTGTGTGAATTTCTGTGCACTTTTTCATTTTTGGTTTCTACTATAATGCTAATTGTCACATTAACAAATTAATAGTGTTATAAGAGGATTATTTTCTTTTTCCTAAAGTAGAAGAAAGAAGTTTTCACCCAGAGAAAAATTAATACTGTGTTTTAAATAAATGAAGTCCCTTCATTTGCCTCTTTGTAGAAGCAGAAAAGGGAAGGGAGTGAGTAAATAACACTTGCAGTGAAATGAGACTTTTCACCTTTGTAGATTTTACAATGAAATGAAGCTTATTCTGCTTTTTTCTTAAAAATAAAATTCTTGTGTATGCTCAATCTCATAGATGTAGAATATATTTACTTTCCTCTTACATAGGAAAATAAGAGGCACGTGTTGACTGCATTTGGTTCCTGAATTTTTTATAAACTTCCTGGAACTTGCAAGTGTTACATGGGCCCATGCCACTCCTTAGACTTATTATTTTTGTTTTATTTCAGCACACAGCTCACTTGGTGTTGTGTTGGTTTGTTAACGAGCTGGGTGCAAGGGCTGCTTGGTGGCAAACTGCTTGTTAGGGAAATGCTGCCCGGAAGCATCGCAGTGCCGCTTGGTATCGCTGCCTGTTTTCACACAAATGGGCTTAGACAAGAAGAGGATGTATTGTGGATAAAAGGTTGGTTTGAAGATTGTACCTGCTAATGATTAAGAGCTCCCTTATTTCAAAACAATTGCGTAAGGAATTGAGCCTGCCTTATTTCTGCTAGAAAACAAACAAACAAAAAATGAACACATGGCTTCTGACAAATCATGAGACGTGTGACTCAAGATGCAAGCTAGCTGTAATTGTGGAATGTGTCAAAGCTGATTTGCTTCATTTGCCTGAGATTTTGTGCACTTGCAAGGGTGTGTAAAAATGAAGGGTGTTGAGCGGGATAAAATGGCAACTGCATTGCACAGGGAGCTTAATGCTGGTGGTCAGATGAAAAGCATCGCTAATTGTTAGTCTTCAGGAGACAAGTTTGGATCCCACAGACACGAGGTCTGGCTGCAGAGAGCTCTCGTACAAAGGGCTGTATTTGTTAGGTTTGTGCTGCTGCTGATAGGAGCGAAGGAGAATAAAAACGGAGGAAATAGATCTGGGCTGCTGATGGCAGGAACCATGCGTGGCTTTGTTGCTCCTTGCAGCTATTCTAATATTCTGGGGCACTCAAGCGTGCGTTCTGACTGCGATTCCTCCTTCTCTAAGTAAAGAGAAGCGAGTTTCATTTGCATGTTATTGATAAGGAAAATGAATCAGAATAGCAAGTTCTGAGCGCTGCGGATAATTTTTTGTCTCTTACGAGTGCCTGTCTGATGTCATTAAATTTACTCCAGTGAACTAATCTGTACCATCAGCTGTAACTTTCAAGTACTTCTCAAATAATTTCTAATATTTTTCAAGAGAAGCTTTTTCTATTTTTTTCCTTTGTTTTTAACCTGTGTGAATTTTATAAATCATGTAACTGTAAGGCAAATTCAGGCATCTTGCAAGGCCTTCTGCAGGGGAAATGTAATTAACGGCAGGAGTGGCAGAAGAGACAGCTTTTCCTTCGTCACTTGAAGCGTGGGGTGGTGGCAATTCCAGGTATGAGCAGAGCTCTTCCAGGCCCTCAGACACGAGCAGTCTGTATGTTAGCAAATCATTGGAATACCTGAAGCAACTGCAGCGTGTCAGCAAGATGGGAGCTTGTTTGACAAAGAACCAGGTATATTCCTATTAATTGCAGTACAGAAGGACCCATCTGCCTAAAATGCCAGTCGTGTCCTTCTGTAGTTGCAGAATAACACAGCATCACAAGTTTTTACTGCAAGTCTTTTCTGCAAAGCAGTACTGTGAAGTCGTGCTTCAGGCTGGGTGAAGGACAAACTACTGTGTGCCAGATCCCGTACTAGAGCAGAGGATTGAGTTCTCATTCTCCCTCTTCATTTTTCTGTTTTAAATATTCTTTTCTATTTTATTTAAACTGGTAATAACTGAAGAAGAAATGTTTTAAAATGTCCATCTGAAAGCTTTGTGCTTAATAGCATTTTACTGTTGTCGTGCATTTTGAAACTTTTACGTAAAGATGTATGTGGTGGTGTTGCAGAGGATGGTCTTTAATTGTGGTAGTTCAATAGAATGATCATATTGGTTTGATGATGCAGTCAAGTGGCAAGGAGATCTGCTGCTGAGAATAGGAGCTTGTTTGGTTCTGTGCAGCTGAAAACTGAGCAATGACAGAAAGTGGTCGTGGCTGGTGTGTGTATTCCTGGGTTAAACTACAGTTTTTAAGTTGAATTCCTCAAGTGAACGTTTTGGTTTAGATGTTTTACATCTTTGAAAAAAAAAAAAAAAAAAAAAAAAGGAAACAAGGCAAATTGTGGAGTTTCAGTAATGCCTTACAAACTTGGTGAGTTGAATGCCATTGTGCCAGGTGCATTTTCTGCAGAGCTACGTTACATATTCAGTGTATTCGAACCTTTCAGTAATTCTGTAAACATTGCATTCCTTAGAGTCCTTTTCTTAATCTTATGTTATGGTAATTGAAATTGACCAGACAGACAATTAAATGTAATACTGAATTTGTTCTTATACATTTTTCATTGTTATAAAGGAGCTTATTAGTCAATGAACAACTGTGCTTTAAAGTCACAGTAATAAATGTCAACAGATCTCTCTACAAGTAGCATACTTTGAATAGCAAATTTAATTAGGACCAGCTGGAACGAGTTATTGTTCTTAAAGGTCGTTATATGTTTTTATCTTCTAAAGAAAATAATGGTATATGAATTTGTGTAACAATCAGAAAACAAACAAACAAACAAAAAACAAGCTTAGGAATTCTTCAGAAATATTACGCTTTTCTTTATCCGATGTTTTGCTGCTTCTTTTGTGCAATAGGTGAAATACTACCGACACTTGGCACCCGATCACTTGCTTCAAATATGTCATCGACTCGGACCGCTTCTAGAGCAAGAAATCCCCCAGAGCGTCCCTGGAGTGCAGACGTTATTGGGAGCTGGCAGACAGTCGTTGCTTCGTACGAACAAAAGTATGAAAATTGTGTGAGAGCTTTGAGAATTTTTGCTATTTCGTGCCTGGGAAAATCCTGTTCTCCATTCTTTGTGTAATTCTTCTGAAACAGGTTGCAAACACGTTGTGTGGAAGGGGTCTGCTCTTGCTGCGTTACATTGCGGGAGGCCTCCGGAGTCACCTGTGAACTATGGCAGTCCACCTAGTATAGGTAAGTCAGTTTTACTGAGGCACTGCCACTGCACAACCTGACTCCCAGGGTAATTGATTGTCGTAATGATGAGTGCGATGTAGAGTTCTGTTTGTCCTTGTTTGTGTCATATTCCTTGCACTGAATATTAATACTTAATCAGATGTCATAACTGGTCATATTTGCATGTTTGTATGTGGAAGTTCTGCTCTGTCAATTCTGCTCTGAAGCTAGATATTTTTCTCTTCGAAGCATACGGCTGAATAGACTACATTTCAACAGTGAATAACACCAATAAAACTCATTTTGCTTAAGGTATAATAATGCTGTCAGTAGATAAATAATTTGTGCAGTGGACCAACTTAAAACCAGGACAGCATAGTTTATACCTGTTATTGGAGAAAAAGAATAAGTCACCTGGACTGGTGATATTTTCTTTGGAAAGTTGTGAGTGTCTTGTAGGAGTGATCATTTCTGCTCTCTGGTCCATTGAGTAATTTCATAGCTCTGCTTTAGTTGGCTGTGTTGTGTCATGAAGCATGCATATACATAATGTATATTATATGTAATAGGTATATCATTAGTTACTTTTTTAAGCTTTAGTTAAGGTGATATTTTGATCTCTGTTCTGTGTTAAAACTACCTGTGGGAAGAAAAACTGTCAAAACATGATGTATATTGCTACCAGTACTTCTCTAATATTAGTTTAGTCAGGGAGTGGTCTTTTTTTCTTTTTTTTTTTTTCAATTATGTACAGCTGAATGTGCAGAAAAGCATATTCAGAAAATCTTACAAGGCTTCAGAGTAGATCAAGCATCTAATTAGTTCTAAAAACAGTACAGTGGTTAGTTAAAGGTATGCCTTGAACAGGCTAATTTACACCTTCTTTCCTGAAAGCTGTTTAAGCACACAATTAGTCAAACATCATTTGACCTCTAAGTGTGTGTGTGTGTGTGTGTGTGTGTGTGTGTGTGTGTGTGTGTGTGTTTGTGGGGGAGGGGGAGGACAAACATACATTCTCAAGAATCTTTCTATAGATGTAATGAGCAGCAGCAATGTTATACAGATTTCTTTTCAATCATAAAGCAAGGACATATTGCAATCCAGAATTCTTTTTTTAGATGTAGAGGCACTTTTATTTTTCTTAACACTTGAAAATTTAAGGACCTGGGAAACTTAAAGGTGACTGAATGAGTTGAGATGCCTCGAGGAGTAAATACTGCAGTAGCAGCAGGTTTCTGGGCCAACCTGAAGTTGAGTTGTTTAAGCAACGTTAATGCTGTGATGCTTCACCTTGCTGCTGAAAGATAGAAACCTGGTCTTCACAGCAGCCTGGCTTGCCAAAAACAGAGTGCTGAAGATACATTGGGAGAGCTAGTAACAAGGTAGAAATGCACAGCTGGGTGCTATTCAGGGGCACTCAATATAGTAACTTGCTGTAGCAGTTCTTGGAAGTTGGAACTCTGTTATTGGGATATTGTTTCCCTGTTAGGTTTCTAATGGATGGGGATAAGAGCTCAATTTGGATATTTAGATTATTTCTAATATTGAAGAATCGCAAAATCAAATATTAAAGGCACATAATGTTTAATAAAGTTACTCCCAGAGGATTATGGTTTTGTCCTATAGGCTGAAGCAGAAACATGCTACAGCTAAGAAGCTTTTGAGGTTGAGCGCTGCCAACCTTGATTTGGTCAGATGGCAAAGTATTTGGTGTTCTAGTGGACTTGTTATTTGAAGGCTTTAAAGGAGTGTGGCTTTGGTGGGTATTTAGAGCTAAGTTTTCAAAACTTCCTCACCTACTAAACGTGTTGGCTTGAGGCAATTCTCTTAAACCCTACATCAACAAGATTTTATTTACAGATATCATTTTAATATTTAATTATAAAGAATTGCTTCCATGTTGTATTCTAGATGTGGGGGAAGAAATGTTTGTTGTTGAATATTTCCCATCTCAAGTGTCTGTGCATTGTCTTGAACACTGAAAATTGGAAAATCTTGGGCCAGGTGAGCAGCCTTGCCTGCAAGGTGTGTGGAAGACAGAGTTGTCTGATAGTGAAGGTTTCCTTGGTGGTGACTGTCTTAATTTTCTCTGTACTTGGCATGTATACTGAAATGTGCTTGAAGAAAAAATTAGAGCAGAAGGCTCTGTGTTACTTTGTACTGTAGCTGAATCCATGATGTGCTTTTTTTCAAGGGACAGGACCAGTGCATGAGGTCTGCCAGTTAGGTATCAAAGGAAGTTGTAGAATTGCCATGTACAGAAGTTGACTGTTAGGAGAAATAACTCTCAAGAGTCTTTTTATGGAAGAAAAACTAGGGCTTTCTAGGTAAATGTTATTTTTATGGAAACTTTTTGCAGAACACCGAATATCTGCAAAATTACAGTTACTTCAACGTACCGCTTTTTTTCATGACCAATAATTTCCTTTTCCGAACATCCAAATAAGTGCTGGTAACTGCATATTTTCAACTGTTTTTTGAATGTTTGATTCAGACCTGTGTGTGAAAGCATTTGCTTTTGATTAATCCTATTCTAGTCCAATCCTTGCAGTGAAACTGGGAGTTGGAATAACACTTAATTCATAAATTGAAATTATTCTTAAGTAAATTCCTGTAGGAAGGCTGTGTTTTACATATTTGCTGTTTGGACACTTATTCTTCAGGCTGCGTATATTTCAGTTGGAGAGCCCACTAATGACTGGGGAGTGGAAAAGAAGTCTGTCTGTTTTGTGGAGGCTTTTTCCTTTATTTACATATACTAAACATGTAGCTATATTTGTTCATTTCCTAGCTTTAGGAACCAATGCAATCATGATACTGTTATTATATGCTTTAGTATTAAATTTTTTTCTACATTATGATAGCAGCCTTGTAGCTAACTTATATGCACTTAAAATACATCTGTACAGGTACTTACTTCACCAGAAATCTACAGTGTATGTCTAGAATATAATAGAAAACCAAAACTTGTGTAACGAGTAATCTCCCTCTGTGTTTAATTAAAATCAAAAAGGAGAATTGGAACTCAATAATCTTTAAGGTCTCTTCCAACATAAGCCATTCTATGATTCTTTTTGTTTTGTTAAAGATCCGTAAAGACCTTCAGGGATGCAGAAGCAGAAAAAGGAACTCTTTTTAAGTAACTTTCAGGAGCTCTGGAAAAGCACAGAGCCAAAACTTGAAGTTCTGAGTTCAGAGCTCTTAGGGAAGCTGGTTATTCATGTGTGAAGACCTGAGTGAGACTGGCTGCTCATTCTCTGCTAATGAAGAATATGTTCCCTGGCTGATTAATGCATCTGCCTGGTTTTGCTGAATAGTCCACTTCAGGAAAAGTTCTGAGAGATTTTTTTGTCTTCTCAGTTTCTCTATTCAGTTATCCTGCTGTTTGGGCTGAAAACAGAACACCATGTTCTAAAAGCAGTGCAGATGTTTGTTTTCAGAAATTTAGTAAATACTTAAGGCTTAAAAGCTAACTTCAGACTATGCTGTATAACCATTTCCCTGTGATAATAAAAATAAACCCAAAATAAACTAACCCAAAAGACCAACTTTTAGGTTTTTTTATACTACAAATGTGATACATTTTCAAGTACCTGTGTAAAAGTAACATTTGTTATTTATTCAAGTCTAAAGAAAATTATACTAAAATGGAAACCTTGTGCAAGAAGAAATAAGAAGTCTTAAGGTACTCGTATTTTGAGTGAAACTCAATGACTAAATAATACACAGAATGTAAGTGGGGTTATACTGAAGTCAAGGATCAGGTTGGAAGTACTTAGGATAGCTTTCATTTGTTGTTGCCTTTCCAAGTGTCTCACCTCCCCTCTCTGAATTGTTAAGGATTTGACACCTAATTCCACTGAGCAAATTGACTTCATATGTGAAGCTTAAGATGTACGTAGACTCTTTGTATTCTCAGAAACACTCCTGTGGGGAGTCAGTATGCTTTAACTTTCCCATAGACGAGTCCTGACTCGCTCAAATTGCTAGCTTTACCATGGTGGCTGTTACCTGTGAGCCAGAAGATTTAGATTTATGCATGGAGTTTAGAAGCTGAACAGAGAAATAGCAGAAAAGCACAAGTCAACTCAAGCTGCCTTCTTGGCTTTGAACATCTTTACAGAAGGGGCATGGGGGGGGAAGCCTGAATGCATGATGCTTTTAATATTACTAGCTTTGACAGTAGAAGGAGGAGTCAGGCAGTCCTGCTTTATTGTTTTTCAACAGCCCTAAGTGCTGTAAGGTCGTTAGAGGTGTGACTAGCTTCTCAAGTTATGAAACTCGATTCATTATGGGTAGGAGTTGTAAATAATGTGTTCTTCAGGTGTCCTTCCAGCTTTTTCTCTTGAACCCGATTCACTTTTTGTGTGAATGGAAAAGGAACAAAGTTGGTTTCTGTTCTGTGGAATAGGAACTTTCGTCGATTGAATTCAGGTCCAGAATGGAAGAAAATAATACATAAGCCGCAGTGATTTTGTGCATGCTTTTAAAATGCAACTTATACTTGGTTAAAAAAAAAAAAAAATTATGTTGTGTTTATCAATGGGCGAAGCACACTGTGCTCCTTCATCTTTAAAAGACATATTTATGTTCCAGGGCAAAACTATATAAATAAAGGGATCAAATTGGTTGCTTTGATAAAACTAAGATAAGAAATCCATTGGGGAAATAAAAAGATCAACATAATTAATACAGCTATGTCTGTCAGATACCAGCATTTATCTTGATTATATAGATTGCCATTTTTGTTGCTAGTTTTGTTTTGGGTACTGGGTGAGATAGAGACATTCTAAAACTTTGGAGGCATTCAAGTTGGTGCCTGCTGCATGCCTTTTGAGTAAAAGAAGGCCTGTGACAATTTTCTTCGTGCTCTGTTGAAATTTCCTACCATTTTGCATTCAGCAGCTTTATGTTTGATTTTGAATTGTTCTGATTCAAGGCAAACAAAGTAAGCAAAGTAGGGTGATCTTGACTCTGAGGTGTGTGGTTTTCAGATTTATGTTGTTACTAACACTGAATCATAACAGTAGGAATGAGATTTAAAAAACAAAACAAAACAAAACCAACAAAGTGAAGTTCAATTTCACTAGGTTGTTTTTAATATCCCAGTTTTCCATTCACATCTTAGCTTTCAAAACTGTCCTAACTTTCTTGCTGACAAAAAAGAAGAAGTGCAGAGTCCTGCAGCTGGGGACAACCAATTCCAGGCACCAGGGCACACTGGGGTTACCCAGGTGGAAAGCAGCCTGGCAGAAAAGGATCCATGGGTCCTGATGGACACCAAGTTGAACGTGAGTCAGCAGTGTGTCCTTTCTGCTAAGAAGGCTTACAGTATTCTTGGCTACATTATGCAAAGTGTGACTTCATCAAAAAGAGGTGGTCCTTTCTCACTACTCAGCACTGAGGAGGCCATGACTGGAGTGCTATATTTGGTTTGGATGTAAGAGAGAGTTGTGTTGGGAAGAGTCCAGCATGGGGCCGTGAAGTTGATGAAGGGACTGGAGTGCCTCTCCTCTAAGGGGAAGCTGAGAGAGCTGGGAGAAGACTCTCGTCAGTGTGTATAAATACCTGAAGTGGGACACAAAATTAAGAGCCAGGCTCTTTATTGTGGTGCTCAAGAGGCAGTGGCCACAAACCAGAACACAAGAGGTTCTGTCTAAACACCGGGGAACTTTCATTCACTATGATGTTGACCGCAGACTGCCTTATGAAGTTTCCACCTGTTGTGGTTTGACCCAGCAGGACGCTCTGCACCACAAAATCGTTTCTCACTCCCCTCACTTCTACTTGATGTATGGAATATCCCTTTGGCCAGTTTAAGTCAGCTGTCCAAATTCTGTTCCCTCCCAGCTCCTTGGATACTTTGCTGTCAATGGCCTTGGCTCTGTACAATGCTGCTTAGCTGCAACTATAAACATTGGTGTGTGTTACTAGTATTGTTTTTCTCCTAGAACCAAAACACAGCATTATACCAAACACTGAAGAAAACAGTTCTGTCCCAGCTGAAACTAAGGCACTGTCCTTGGTGATACTCAAAACCCAACTGGGCTCAGTCATGGACGCCCTGCTCTGGTGTCCCTACTTTTGAGCAAGGGTTTGGACCTGGTGTCTTCCAGAAGTCCCTTCCAACCTCAGACAAGTTGTGATTCTGTGATAGCAGACAGTTACAGGACTAAAACCTGCAAGCCAGTTCATTCTGTATTAATAAGCAACTGATAATTCATAACAACTGAAATATTAACATTCTGTGGAAATGTGTGTTTTACGTATTTGAATATCTGTAGTGTATGTAGCTTTCTAAGGCATTTTTTTTTCTAATGAGGCAGCTCCAGTATTAACTAGGAAGAATCCTGATTTTCTTTCTTTTTTTTTTTTTTAATATATAACCAAAATGTCAATTAGGACTAAGTAATGAAGTGTTGTTCTGTGTTGTACACACAACAGCTGGTAACATCTGTGATTTATTTTTTTCTTAGTAAGGATCAATCTTGTGCATGGGTACAAGAGGCATAGAGAGCTAAGATAATTTTAACTTCCTTAGTTGGCCAGGCATTGGGTGGTATTTATTTGTGTAGCATGCACTTCACAGTGCCTTTCCAGTAAGCAAAAGCCAGCCAGTCTCTGCTGTGTAGCTTTGTTCTCACATCAAACCCTTCTTTATTCTCTTGGTTGACACAATGTTCTCTTAAGTGTTCCTTGGATAAAGTTTATGCTGTTGCCTTAGCTGGTTATGGACTGCAAGTGGCTCCCGCTGCAGCTGTTCAATTGCCTATAGGTTGTCCCTCTTCCTGTGATTGAATCATCACCTTTGCTCATGTTGACTCAATTGTGTGAAGCCAAGCAGAACCTAAGCAAAAGCAGAAAACTGCTAGTAGAGCTCAAATGAGAGTTACAGGAGTAACTGCTGTACAGGAGTTTCTAAAATCAGTCTTCCCTAAATACAGCAAAAATCAAGCTAAAGTGGCTTAAGGACTATACAAAGATGGTAAAGCCAGACACAAGAAACTACTCCTTTAAACTTAAGACATATAATTAGTACAAAGGCACTATTATTAACAGTTGGTAGTTTTTCTTACCTTGACTTGCACTGGAAAAATCAGTTTTACTATTCTCTTGCATAAGATGTGGCTGTTTTTCTTTCATTTTTACCTGTACTCTGAAGGAAAAAAGCAGTGGGTCCTCTGCTAACAAGGTGGGCAGGTGTCACACTGGAGCCATAAACATTTGGAATAAAATGTGTAAATACTTCTAGAGAAACGAGTTGAATCCCTTGGCAAAGTGAATGAGATTAAATGGACAGCTGTATTGAGGAAACTGAGGAGCAGTGATAGATGCAGTGATAGATACAGGTTTATAATACTGCTTTTTGCCCTGTCAAACTAATTTTTAGTTCACTTAGATTTATTTTTAAATGGTAATGCTTTTTTTTTTTTTTTTTTTTTTTAATATAAATTTTGGGCAATGCAAATTTGTGAGACTTGGTTTTCTTATTTCCACTGTCACTGAGTGCTGCTCCTATTTTGCAGTAGGCTGATGTTACTGAACTGGGGACACTTCATCTGTTGAGATCCCCAGAGTGATCTTGTAGCAAGTTGCCTGTCACTGTTTGACAGCAACAAGAATATCAGCAGAAATATTGGCTTAAGCTCTGTTTATTTACTAATGGAGATTATTAAATTAATATATATATCTATCTTTGAAATCGATTTCTATTGCATTTGTAGAGTTTTCCATAAATTCAGATGTTAGAAGTTAAATGCTTGGATGAGTTTGTTGTGTTTATGTTAAAGAATGCAGTTGCTTTTAAACTTACTGACAGAACATATCTACAAATTAAACTCTAGCTTACGTTTTTTTCTGTTATGTGAGCTATGAATTGATTTGAAGGCATTGCTCTAAGCTGATTTCCAAGCAAGAATTGTCTTGTATTAGGAGCAAATAAAAGGTAACTTCTGAATAGCTGAGATTGCGGAAGATCACTTCATTGCTGTGACAAATACTTTTCTGACTTTGTTTTATTCTTTGTGGTGGGTGTGGGATGTCTTTTTACTGTAGGTTGATGTGTCGGAAGCAGAAACTGGATTTATCTTGTGACTGAGCTAATCTGGGTTTCCTGCTGTTTTGAAGTAGACTTTTGGCAAGGAGAAGCTTTGTTATAAAGCAAATGCAGCTGCATCTTGTTCTTGTAGAAGGGTAGGTTGAAGAGGTTATAGCAGAGCCTTAAGGCAGTAGTGGTCCATTGACTTGGTGCTTCACTCTACAGCTAATGATCCTTCTCCTTCACAAAGCATCTTGAACAAGGAAAACTTCCTTGAATCCTTGGGCTACATATGCAGTAACCTAAATGTTTCAGGGCTGTTTTCATGGCCTGAAGCCAAAAGTCTTGGCAGTTATCCATACCACAAAGTGCTTTTGCTCCTATGTAGAGTAGCTGCGATCCAGTTCGAATGAAGTTTGACCTGTGCTGACTCATGAACTTCCGTCTCATTTGCCTGGGCCAAGCCAGGCAATGCAAGAGGCTTGTAGACAGTTGATGCTAAAGGTTATTGAGTGCCCGGACCAGCGCCCCGGTCCTGCTTACTTCACTAGTACTGATGTTGCCTTGGTCCAGTGTAAGGAATGCCTAACCAGAGTAATAATGACAGTAGCAGCTACCTGTCTTGGAAGTTTGTTCATCTTTGGATTTTGTTTGCTTGTTTTGTTGTGGTTATTCTGTTTTTATTTTAATTTTTTTTACCATAGTAAGTAGTAATATTATTCAAAACAAGAGTTGTCTTTTAAAGGTTGAGTAAGTGATTGTAATTGTCTAAAAACATGTTGTCCTGTAGAAGACTTGAATGTTTGCTGGTCTGCAGTTAATAGCTATGTGGATACTTGTATGCATCTTAAATTTGAGGTAGTTTTCTCCTCTGTAGGAGCTGTTTTGGTCCTCTTGAATACCATTCTAGGTATAAAATAAGAAGCATACATTTGGGCAATTAAAACTGGGGGTTTGATGTATCATATCTTCATGCTCTGCCTTGCACTTTAGTACTTTTTCTGATGTTTGTATCATAGGCTGCTTTTGTGTTATATTTTTCCCCAGTGATGGTAAATGGAGAGAGTTACTGTAGTAAGGTGTTCATGTGGTGCAGTTCTGCAATGAACTTTCTCTTCTGCAGGTGTGTTTTGGCTTATGAACCCAATATAAATATCTTTTCCTTTTTCTTTCCCCATTTGGTAGTGGATACCCTATTCTCAAGAAAACTGAATGGAAAATACAGACTTGAACGCCTTGTTCCAACTGCAGTCTACCAACATATGAAGATGCATAAACGAATTTTAGGACACTTATCTTCTGTATACTGTGTAACTTTTGATCGGACTGGAAGGCGAATATTTACTGTGAGTATAAATATTTTTTGTCTAATTTTTTAGAGTATAGATAGCATAGTTGCCCAAACCTGAGTGTGCTGACATCTATTAGTACCAGATGAATGCTTTGCTGCTGTTACTTTCAGATGAATTTTCATAACGGTGCCAGTTTACATGTTAAGATAATTCAGCATATTGAATGTGCTGGTGACTGCTGATCCATGCAGTTCAGTCAGAAAACTGCAGTTATTTTCCATGAAATTACCTTGTGCAGATTCTTTCTTCTTCTGGACTTCTCTAGGAAAGGCAAAAACTTCTCTAGGAAAGTTCTTTTCTCTCTAGGAAAGAGAAAAGAACAGACTGCTGTCAGGGAATTTTAGAAGTCAGGGTAGGTAATCGTTTTGTAGTTAGATTATTTTAGCCTTTTTTCTGTAGTTTTTATTACGTTTTAAATTACTATTAATAGGCTGGTAGATTTATACAGCATGTTGATGATAGAAGGTTGAAAATTAGCAGTGTTTTATAACAAATGTTGGTTTATGAGGAATTGTGATCTGTGAGATCCCAGGAACTGATTTTTATAGGAATGTTATCAGTATTTATAGCTAATTTCACTGTGTTGCTTTGGTGGGTTGGTTTATTTTTGCTCTTTTTGTTCTTTACTCTGAGGATGTCTGAAATCAGTACTGAAAATGCAGGTTTCTTAAAGAATGGGAATTAGGAAAAATGATGCACATCAGTATAATTGGATTCCTTAGTAAGGAGTCAACTTCAGTAAAGCCAAGGATCATATAAATGCACACCTTGTGTCAATCTGGAATGCTCTGGCGGCATTTATTGCCTTCTCACAATTACTGGATTCCTGTGGTGCATTTGTGGATCTGGGAGCTTGTTTGCCCTCTTTGGAATGCCAAGACAGATAACTTGAGCACTGCAGGTGGAAGTGCAGTTTGGTTTGACACTGCAGTTCAAACTTCTCACATGCTTTTAACGTGGTTGTGAATACAATTTGCCCTTCTGCCCACATACAATTTATTTAATTCATTGTGTGGAAAAATGTATAGCTGCGGGGTCTGTGGCACTTATAGAAGTACAGGCAGACTTCTGTTTGTTTACTTGTTCGTAGTAGAGATTTTCTTAATATTTCTTTAGCTTTCATTGACAAGCTAAAGTCCCTCAACAGTCATAGGCATTACATTCTTACCATGTCCTCTAGTTTGTGCATGATTCACCTGTCAGAAAAAGTGTTGCTCTGATGCTGTGGGCTTATTTTAGATGTGACAAGGCAGAATGGGTTAGGGATTTTGTGTGCAAGCATAAAAATCCCCAGTGTTCGTCCTATTCAGCTCTACGTAGAAACTTCTGTTTGTGCTTCATTGAAGTGCCTGGAACTCCCTGTTAAGGTCTTATGATTCATCATTTTCTTAAATCCCATGTTTCTTAAATCTGTTGTCTTTGAGGGACTTACTAAAGTTCCCTTGAGTGCATCTGTAATGAAGAGTAGAGTTGCACATTCCCTTGTGTTTTGCAGTGTGACTTTAAAGTGGCTAGAGAGACATTTCTCTTGACTATAACAACAGTTTATTTCTAAAAGAAAAGTAGAAGAACCTGGAATAAAATGAGGGGAGCAGTTGTGCATATGTAACCCCTGAGCTCTGCTGGCAGTCCTTTGCTGAGAGATAAAATGGTGTCCAAGGTATAATTGCTTTAAAAAGATCTTGGGTTCAGATCGAAATTATTTCAATCCGGTGTTGAATAAAGTGCCCGTAGAAAGTAATTGTAGCTGATGGATTTTCCTCTGTGGGGCTGGATCAAAATCTTTTACCTCAGTGTTATTGGATAAATCCAGTGTTCTTTGTGTAGATGTTTAAATGTCTGTTGGCAAACAGAATACCGAAGTGTTCTACTCCATATTGCAGTAAAATCCAAGTTCTAGTTGCTGTGGTGATGCAATTTGTTGATAAAGTTGGCATATATCATTGAATTTATAAACAAAAGGAAGACAGATTTCATTCTAGACATGTCTGTTACCAGCATATGAATTTGTGTGTATCAATAGGGAATTGTTCTTGCTCTGATCTTTACTCTGTAACCTCCAACATTTAGTGCAACGTTAGCTAGGTAAGAGATTGTTTTAGTTTTATGACTGGTTGTAGAAGCTGCATTTTCCTTTCCTCTGAAGGACTGAAAGCCTCCACGTTTAAGTTCTATTTATGTGCTGCTTCAAATTAAAAGAAAGAAAAAGTGATCTCAGCATATTTTTGAGTCATACTGTTCTGAGAGATGTTATCTTTGTTAGGAAGAAGATGTTCTTGGTTTACCTAACGACGGTGAAAACAGGACACAAAGCAGTTTTCCTGCTAGCTAGTAGGTCATGCATTGACTGGTCCTATTTACCTTATGTTAAAGATTTCACAAGAGATTTCCAAAGATCAGCCTCTAAGATGTTTTTGATTTTTTTCTTCTGAATATACAAAAATATTCCCAGTATACAAACCTGATGTTTTCTGTTTTCAACTTAACTGCAATGAATACAGCTTTACTTGCAAAGACACAACTGAAGGAACTGTCAGCCTTCAGTGAATGAAACCTTACTATTGGAGGCTGTTTTGGATCTCTTGGAACCATGTGCTAGCAATAGGGACAGGCATTGCCTTCTCTGGTTCTTGTACTGCTTGATCCTTCCAAGTCAGAAAGTTGCCAGTGTTATTTCCCTCATCTTTATCTTCCTGTCTCCACTGAGATCCTCTTTCTAGGGAATAATAATAAGCAGAGGAGAGTAATAACCTGTGGTTGGAAAGAGACCGATCTGTATGGTTTTTGGCAGTTTCACTGCAGCCCACAAGTCTCTGTAATGGTAGGAAAGTAAACCAGTTTTACTCCATACCTTGGTAATGCTGTCATCAGTTCTCTGTAGGGGCTGAGCCTGTTCTAGGATTTGTTTTTGACAAATGCTTTTAATAGCCACATAATTTGTAGTAGTTGCAGACATAACCTTGGAAACAGAAGCTGTGGTGTAAGCTGATGCCCTTGCTGGTAGAACTGGAACAGTATTTTAAGAGTTGTGAATTATCCCATTCAATTCAGACAGAATCTTATGGATTTATTTGAGCTCTAATATTACTATCTTGCCAAGATGCTACAGAATTTATAACTTACCGTAGTTATTTTTCTTGCTGAGACTTGCTAACAGTTTAATTTTCCTCTACAGGGGAGAGGTACAGCACATGCCTCTATAGCTGTCCTGGAGCCAGCTGGTAGGAAGCAGTCTGATTTTATGCTGATCTGCTTTCCTCAGTTTGCTATTAAATAGACCTCTGAGGTTTCTCCAGGTGGCATTAGGTCCTAAAGCTAGCATTCTTTTTCTCTGTTTCTTTACTTTTTTTTCTGCCCTTGTTTCTGACTCTTCTATGTCTCTCTTTATCTATGCACAGATTTCTCTCCATCAATTACATTCGGCAAGCAGCTTTTTAGGGGTCTTGTAATGCAAGGTTTAGTTTATTGGGTTGTCTTTTATTTGTTTATTTATTTTCTTTGAACAATCTGTTCATCCAGTGGAATGGCTGCAAGCTGTAAGTGAATAGCTTATTCATAATGTTGATCCTTACGATGTAAGAACTGCAGAAGCATGTTTTATGTGATAGGTACAGTGCTGTAGAGAGTGTTACTTGTGCAGCTCCAAGAAAAATGGGACTGGTGGTTTGAGACTTCTGCACTGTGATGCAAGTAATTAATGTTAATGGATTGGCTCTGTTCTCATGCATTTATTGCTTTGCGTAAGAGATTAATCCACTTGTGAGTGTTTTCCATCCCCACGCTCCTGGAGTGTTTGGAGGTTTTGAGTTCCTTTGGAAGTTTTGGGATCCCTATTCTCTTCTTGCTTCAAATCTCTGTTTCGTGGCTGAAAGTATTATTTATTATATCTATCACATGAATTTCACTCACTCCACCCCTTTTTATCTCTTCTGTGTTTAGGTTGGGTTTTTTTTTTTTTTTGGTTCTAACCAGACTTCTAAGACAAATATGCAAGCCTTTTCATGCTCAAAATCTTACAGTGTAATCAGTGTAGAACAGATTGACCTTATAATACTTTTCAGATCATTGTTGCAGTAAGTAGGTAATGTTATTGGCCAAATTTTAGTTAAACATTCTCAGGCCCAGGGAGCTGTCAGAAAAACTCTCTTGTAATAAAAATCTGAAGCAAAAGTGTATTTCACTTTCTGTTAAGGGCTCTTGTCATTTACAAAACTTGTAGTACGACAGTACTTGTAAAGAACAATATAAACTTCTGAAGAATGTTTAGGACTGGAAGATATTGGTGCGCTGATGACTCTTACTTTGGGAGCATGAGAATTTTTAATTAAATGATTGGGCTCGATTTGGAGTTTGAAACCTTCTTAGTTGAGTAATGTGGGTACTTTATAGCCAGCTTGTATGTTCATTTTAAGGAAGCAAAGGGACTAAAACAATCTGCTTAAAACTTACAGCTTAGAGGAAAAAATGCTGCCCTTTTTTCTTTTAACTCTTATTTGTAAGCTCTAAACAGCAAGTTTAGAGCCTGTTAAATTGTGCATTGGGTAAGTCTGAACATATGAACTACTGAGCGCATTTCCCAGTTATTTTTCTACTCTTTCAATCTTCGGTAACTTAATGTGAATAAATCAGGTGATAAGTAAAACTAGCCTGAATAAATATATTCAGTACGAGTGAGATTTGGAGCTTTTTCAAAAGCATTAAATGCTCACAACTGCACTTAAATTCACTTAAACAGCTTTAACAGTATTTAAGAGATCCTTGGGTCTTCTTTCTTCTTGTAGAAGTTCTTAACTGGGGAGTTCCTGATTCGACCTGTAGACTAAAATGTTTTCCTGAAAGCGGTGTACTTTCTTTCCATGCAGATATTTGAGATGAATTCAGTGCTGCAATAATGGTAGATCAAATGTGTAGTAGGTTCATTCACTGGATCTTAACTCAGTGGGTCTGAATCAAAAGAAAGGAAAAGTGATGTGGAGGAAAGTGATTGTTTCAAGGGTTTGATATAGAGGAAGAGATAAAATTAACAAGATTTAAACAATTCAGCACTTGGCTTTCAAGGCCGTGCAATCTGAACACGATGAAGCAAAAACCAAAAACTGCAGATATTTGTTACGATTTGTGAGGTAAAATTTGAAGAAGTTGAGGTAATTCAGAAGGAATTTTGAGATTCAAGGCAAATAATTGGATTAATATATACTTCTGCTACTGCACTGTGGGTAAAATGTCCATTGAGGTCCTACTTCAGGCAAAACTCAGAGAAGTTACAGAAGTTACCTTCTGCTTGCTACTGGAATACGTGGTTATTTATTTATTTATTTATATTTTTTAATGGTAATACACTAATGATGATATTGGAAAAACTGAAAATAAATGCTCAAAAAAACTGTTGTGGCTCTGTTCAAAATTTTGGAACATGATACCTGCTAGTAAAGTGTTCTAACATGCCTTAGGTGTGGAGTGTAAAGGTAAAGGAAAGATTGAGTCACTGTGCAGATTTATCAATGGAGAGTGTTAGTTTTATTTTTGTTGTTGTTTTCAGTGGCTCCTGTTATAGCTGCTATCGGTAAGGAGGAGAAAAGTTTAGGCTAAAATAAAGTACAAACTAACGGAGTAACTTCTCTTACAACAGTTTACTTAGGGTTTTGGCAATTTCAAGCTCAGGAATATTGGTATTTCAGAAGCTTGGCTTTCTGAGGTAATTTCTTCTGAATTGCAGAGCTTCAAGAAGGAATGGAAACGCAAGTCCTAGTGCATACAATACGCATGCAGACAGAGGGGGGTGGAGGTGTTTGCCCTCAGACTTTGTGTCTGCTTCAGACCTTTGTTCTGCATGGTTGTCTAAGCCAACTTTTTTCTCACGTAAAACCTGATGAGACGTACCCAACAGCTGGAAGGCAGGGATTAATGTGATACTGATGTTTGCTTTGCACAGGATTTTTATTGCATGTTCTTTGTTCCTAGAGTCCTGCTCTGCTTCCCTTGTTGTGTCTTCAGAACAGCTGTTTTGAAAAGCAGCATCGCATCACATAAGATTTCCTTAAGATGCAGAGCAAGATTTTTAGATTAAGGGAATAGTTATCAGAATCATTTTTCTGCTCAAAAAATCTAATGCTCGATACCTTGAGTTTTGTTTAATTGAACTGTACAATAGAAACAGCTAATGATTTCTACCTTATTTCTAGGGATCAGATGATTGCCTTGTAAAAATCTGGGCAACAGATGATGGCAGGTTGTTGGCTACCCTGAGAGGGCATGCAGCTGAAATATCTGATATGGCGGTGAACTACGAGAACACCATGATAGCTGCTGGAAGCTGTGATAAAATGATCCGAGTTTGGTGCCTTCGAACTTGTGCACCCTTAGCAGTTCTGCAGGGCCACAGTGCATCTATAACATCATTGCAGGTAGGTTTTCACAAAGTCACCTAAGTAGCAAAGTGCATTTTTTGACTGAAAGAGAAACCACTTGAGAGCATTCTAAATAATAATGTCTATGGAGCAACTAAGCTGTGAAAGAAGAAGAAATTTTCATGGTACTTGTTGCAAAAATGACACATTTATTGTCACAGTATCTGATCCTAGCAAAATGCCAGGCATAATCTATTTGTGGGAGGGAAAAATAAGAAAGAAACTTCTTAAAAAATTGCATGATGCATGTGGACAGTTCTGTTATGAAGTATGATTGCTTTGCAGACTGTGATTTTGAGTATCAATATATTGAGTAAAAACTGCAGTCAGTGCTGAACAGTTTGCTCTGCTTCCTGTCTGGAGTTGCTTGCTATTGCACAATTTGGGCTGTGGGGAAGGAGAAGCCAGAGTGCTTTTCATGCAAGCCAGAAAGGTTGTTCTGAAGGGAGAAAGTTATTCTAAGAAACACTGTGTTGTTGGAGTACTGACCTCTTCTTTTTTTTCCCCATCCCTCCTCCCAGTTCTCTCCACTATGCAGTGGCTCAAAGAGATACTTATCTTCAACCGGGGCAGATGGAACAATATGCTTTTGGCTGTGGGATGCTGGCACCCTTAAAATAAAGTTAGTTGTTATTTTATTTATTGCTATTTCTTTGTTTGTGATTAAGAATGATATACAAATGTTGTAGAAAGGTCTTGTCACTGGTTGTTTTGCTGTCTGTGCAATAGTTGGATTGATCCTTTTCTGGGGGTTGCTATAACTTGTCTTTTAAGGACTAAGTTAAAAACATAAGTAATCACTGAGGGTTTTTGTGCGGTTAAATCAATATACAACCACTTTTTTCTGTGGCTCTGTTAATAAAGCGACATGATGTCAAAGTTGGCTTTTTTGTTCTATGAAAAATTCATGAAAGTTTTGACAAAATGTGCTACAAGATGATTGCGATTTAGACTTGAGAATCTAAGGTTTAGTGGGAGGAAGTAATGTCCTAGCAAGAAATTAGGATGGAGTTAATTTTTGTTTGTTTGTCTGTCATTTTCTTCTCTCCAAAACCTGTTTTTAGTTGCTCTTTATGTAGCATGGTAAGGAGGGTGTCACTCATGGGCTGTGTATTGGTGGATGAAGTTGACTCTGAAGTTTCTGCCTTCAAAGGATAAGATATGAAAAGTCTTGCCAGAGCCCTCAATTCGTTTTTTATTATGAGTATTAAAAATAACTTCAGTGGCTTTCAAATGCTTTTTCTCCTTCTTAATTGCAAAACATCTGGAGCGTAAAATTAGAAATAGTTAATAATCACTGATAATTCAGTTTTGAGCAAGGATCTCTTCCCTTTTCCTAATTAGAGAGTAGTAGAATTAATGAGACTTAAATGGCTTATGCTATATAAGCTGGGAGATGAATATTTGAGTGAATCATAAAGTTAGATGAAATTTGTCTTGAGGTTAAGAAAAAAAAAAAGTGAGCTGGTTTCAGTTACGGTAAGGATTCTCAATTCCTAGATGTAGAATACAAATTTTAACACTTAGAAAATATTGAAAGAATTAAGGTGTTGTTTTTTAATTTTTATAATGCTTTCATATGTAAAGAGCCACAGAAAAGTATCTGCAATTAAAAAAAAAAAAAAAAAAGAAATTCAGTTCAGTTGCATGTTGCAGAATGGAAAGGAGTTAGTCTCGTAACCTAAGTCGTGCAGCAGTTCATGTTGCTCAACAGGAGAGTGCAGAGTAGCTTTGTGAGAGAAGCTTGCGCTGTCCTTAACAACTGTTCTGGTATTTTCTGTGTTGAGTTTGAGAAGATAGAGGGACCCTTAAAACTATGAGGTCTACTCTGAAAGTAATGCTTCCTATTTTATTATGTTGGCCCGTGATGTCAGAGGTGGATGGAGGTGATATGGCAGTAGAGGTTGAACCTTACTGTGAGTATTCCATTACATTTTGTTGTCATGTGACAGATAGCAGCCGAGGGGCAGTCTAACAAAATGGTGTCTGAGATGGAAGTCCATACAAAGCCAAGGTGTGTCATTAAGTTCCTCTGTGCAGAAAAGATGGCACCTCTTGACATTCATCGGCATTTGCTGAATGTTTATGGAGACTGAACAGTGGGTACACAGTGGGGTGGTGGGTGGTGCGTTTCAATGGTGACAGTGGCAACATGGAAGACTGTGTTCTGAAAGGTCATGTACAGCTGTGACACCACTCAGTGAAGAGCATCTCAGCATTAGCATTAGCATCCATGCTAATTGGTGGATTATGGGCAGGGAACTTTGGAGATTAATATTAGCTTGAATGCGTAGGAAACAATGGTGGCAACATTAGAGTATCACTAGGTGCACTATCAAAGTGGTATCAAAGCGTGCACTAGGTGGATCCATTCAGTGCACCATACTCAAATTCATTAGGATCTGTTGAACCAATACAAGGCCAAAGGTGACAGTTTCTCGGATTGCTTCATTAACAGTGACAAGATGTATGTTACCACTATGAAGCTGAAGATAAAATGTGTAATCTGTGGAGTGGGGACATGTGAATTTTCAGCACTGAAGATGTAGCCCTCAGTAGGTAAAGTGATGTGCCCTGTCTTTTGGGATAGGAAAGAGGTGACCCACCCCGATTTTCTGGAATCTGGACAAACCATCAATTCTGACTGCTGTGTTGTGACAGTGATTGTGCTCAAGGTTTGAACTTCAAGCATCAAGCCAAAGACATCAACTTTTCTTTTGGAGCATGATAATGTTGAGTCCCATACCAGTTTGAGTACTGTAGAGCACGTTGCCGGTCTTGCTTGGAGACTGTCCTACCACTCAAACGTTATAGTCTGGATTTGATGCCTCCAGTCTTCTGTCTACTTGGGCCAAGGAGGGGCAGACTAGTTGTGCAACATTTTGCTAGCAGTGAGACCAGTATAGCCGCTGTGAAACAGTCAATAACTTCTACTGTTGCAGGTTTTTGCAAGTGTAGCATGCAAGCTCTTGTTCATCACTGGCAAAGATGTGCAACTAATGGTGCTGATTGTGTTGATTTTTTTTTTTTTTTTTTTAAATCATATTTATTTATTTATTTTTGTAGCTGAGAATGTGCTCTATCAGGTAGAGTAATTTTGTCATTTGTAGCTGTTGGGTTTCCATAGAAATAAAACGGAGGCATTACTTTTGGAGCAACCTATGTATGTCTTTTCAGTCTGGAAAGTGAGTGCATGAAATGAATAAGACCTGTACATTTGCTAGTGTCCTGAAGAGGTTGTATAGTAATTGGCTGTGGAATCTTCTTGTGCTGGAGGGTATTAACTGAAACTAGCTAATTTACAGTCAGAAGGAGATGGCTTTTAACATGCAGCTAAGTTATGGAACTCCTTGTCACAGATTATTATACGTGTTGAAAGCATAAAAGAAGAAACTGAAAGTTATCACTGTGTACTATTTTTGTTCTTACACCCATTTTCAGCTACAGCTGGAAGTAGGAAACTATCTGTAGGTATTTGTTCCAGTTTAGTATAGTTATGCATTTGAAGTACTTCATGCTTTTTCATGAAAACTAGAGCATATACTAAATCTAAATAGGAAATGTTTGTGTCTGTTAGGACTGGAACATAGTTGTATGTTACATAGCATACTGAAATAGTTGCACACTCAGAAAAGTCTCCATGTCTTTCTTCTTAACCTTGTTAGTTACAGGAGGTTCTACTTAATTTTCTAAACTATAAACTTTTCTAAGTGTGATCATTGTAAATCATGTTAATCATACTGTGAAACTGGGAATCCAGTGTAGTTTTTCACCAGAAGACCTTGTTCATGGGCACTCAGCCTCAGTAATAGGTAAGGATTGTTGTAGTTTTGGATGAGGCAATTGTCCCTTTGAAAAGTTACCAAGCACTGGAACAAGCATCCTAGAGAGGCTGTGGAGTCTCTTTCTCTGGAGATATTCAAAACTCACCTGGATGCTTTCTTGTGCATCCTACTGTAGGGAACCTGCTTTAGCTGGAGGGTTGGACTAGATGTCTGACCAGGGGTCACTTCTAACCTCTATGAGTCTTTGATTGTTCTTCCTTACACCTTTAGATCTAGATCTACTTCCAGAACTGTGGAAACATGGCTTATTCCTTCCATATCCATTCAGTGATGTGCTGGGGAAAATGAGTAGTAGCAGTAAAACTGTCAAAGGAAAGAGGAATCTTATTCCTAAGGCCCATTATGAAGCATTTTGTATGTTTGTTGTTGTTGGTTTGTATTTTTTTTTTTTCTTATAGGCCTTATCTTGGTTCTTCTATTTTTATTTTTTTTTATTGCAAATGTTTATTTCTTTAACTCTTCTAAACATAAGGATTTCTGCAATCTATCTGCCAGTAGCTCTGTTGCTTTATTAATTGTATCTCTGAAATTAGAGGCATCCTATGTTGGTATCCCCTTGTTTGGATAACTTCATTGAGGCATGTTGAATATTTTGTTCACACATAGCCTGAACAGGAGATTTCTGGCAACAGCTCTATTTTCATAAACTGCAGGAAGATTCTTTACAGTAGATATTTGTGCCATAGGATGAATGGCAGGCCACAAAATTCTCAGTGTTGCTCAAAAGAGAACGACTAACTGTTCATATGATTCTGTGACTGGTGTGGGTTCATGATGTTCACTTGCATGGAGCCACCTGTGTGCTCCTGTTCTTTCAGTGAAGAGCTTTCCGATCAGGCAGTTAAAGAGTATGCCCAGAGGCATTCCAGTAACATTCCAGTCGTATTATTTTTGTTTCTAAATAGAGAAGTGGGTCAGATAATTGTTTCTGTAGATGAAGAGGTCAGTGAAAGTGGTTCAAAGGGAAATAAATAAGAAATAAAGTGATCAGCAACTTCCCCCACATTTAGTCTCTGTTACTATTCTGGGTTAGAGTAGAAGAAACAAGAATTGCATCCTTTTTCAAGTGACAGTGGGGAGAAGAGAAAATCAATCATAGATCATCAAAACTTGATGGATAATTGCCTCAGGTATGAGATAGAATTGTTATCAGTGCACAGAAGTTAAGTAGCTTGCACTGCAAAATATTTGTGTAAGTGCTTCAAGGAAGATGCTGTGTTTTCTCGTTATTCTTATGCCACCTATTTGGATCATGAGTTTCCAGTGTTAGTCTGTTATTGGCAGACCAAGTGCACAGAGCAGCAGAACTGTCTCACAGATTTGGATAGAGGAACTCACTGTACTGCTTTCTGTCTGCTCTATTAAAAAAAAAAAAAAAAAAAAAAAAAAAAAATCAGCAAAACATGCTGATTATTTTGACACCTCTCCTAAGAAAGGTTGAGGGAACTGGGCTTCTTTAGCTTGGAGAAGAGAAGGCCTTGGGGGAGACCTCATAGCCTTCCAGTATTTGAAAGAAGCATATAAACAGGAGGGGTACATCTGTTTGCAAGGGTAGATAGTGCTAGGACAAGGGGGAATGGTTTTAAACTGAGACAGGGGAGGTTTAGGTTAGATATTAGGAGGAAGTTTTTCACACAGAGGGTGGTGATGCACTGGAACAGGTTGCCCAAGGAGGTTGTGGATGCCCCATCCCTGGAGGCATTCAAGGCCAGGCTGGATGTGGCTCTGGGCAGCCTGGTCTGGTGGTTGGTGACCCTGCACATAGCAGGGGGTTGAAACTCAATGATCATTATGGTCCTTTTCAACACAGGCTATCCTATGATTCTATAATTCCTATTTTGGACAAGCAAATGTTAGTATTTCAACTATCTTCAGGGTGGTAGCATACTTGGGATTTGCATTTTTGTGCAGAAAGCAGCTCATGTTAAGGGAACTGGTCATACACTAAAATGCACATATGCTGGACTTTGTTCGCTGGTGGTTTGTAAACCAAGAGTACTCAAGTTGGATGAGGGGTTTTTGTTTGTTTGTTTGTTTTGGTTTATTTTTTTCTTTTTTGATAAATCTTGCTTAAGCTGCTTTTTGTCCAGAGCAAGGTTAGACTGCGTGGCTTGGGTTGTATAACCATTCTTGCACTAGGAGCGTGCATTGAAGATGAATTGTGAGCTGTTTGTATGGGGGATTGTTGTCCTTGGTTGAAGCAAATAGTGCAAATTAAGTTCTTTACTATGAGTGGTGACGTGCCGGAACATACGGCCCAGAGAGATTGTAGATGCCCTGTCCCTAGAGGTGTTCAAGGCCAGATTGGATGGGGCCCTGGGCAGCCTAGTCTGCAGTTAAATGGGGAGATTGGTGGCCCTGCCTGTGGCAAGGGGGTTGGAGATTTGTGATCCTTGAGGTCCTTTCCAACCTGGGCCATTCTGTGTGAAATTGCTTTTTTGACTGCTGCTCTTAGTTCAAGTTGTGTTTTGATGGAAGCCTTTCATTTTGGGAGGAAAATGGCTTACCAGGGCTTTCCTGGACCTGTGAAGTGTTGAAGGTATCTTAGTGTCTTTCAACTGCTTGTATAATTTGAGTGAGAAGGCTTGTTAAAACATAACAATTAACTTTCCAGATGTTATCCTTTCGTCCACCTCCCTTACTTCCCCAAGTTACTGATTCTCCAGTTTGTCATATAGATTGCGGTCTGCTGTAGTGTGAAAGAATGCCATAATCTTGTTTCCTAATGCCTAAAATAGCACACATTAGAGAGATGTAAGCTGGAGAATTTGATTATCTGAACTAGAACGTAAGTGCATACTTGCTCTGTTTTGCAGCTGTCCTAACTCCAAAGGCAGAGTCCACAAACCACAGTGGAAGAGAACAGCAGCCTATTTTTCTATTTACACTTGCTCCATGTTATGTAAGCTGCATATTGAATCATCTGATAGTTCATTTTAAATTAGTATCTCACTTAAGAAGGATTTGAACTGTTTTGTGTGATAGATCTGTCTTGTTTAATGTGTCTTGTAAAGACTTTTGGCAGGGAGATGTTAAGAGTAATCTTAGCTCCTGAAGGAAGGTTCAGAAACAACCTGTACTGAATGGACAGTTAGAGAAAAATTTCTTAACTGCTGTTCACAGCATGTTTAATACTTTAGTCTGTATATAAACTCGATCAGGGTTTAATGCTTACTACTTTCTTTGAGATAGCGATAGCTGATAGGTGGAGAAAGGTCTCTTATGCATCTGCCTTCAGCTGAGGAAAAAAAAAAGCCATTTTGATTTAAAAAGAGAAAGTTTTAGATAAATCATGAATATGCATTCTTTTATGTTAAACAGATCTTTAGTGATGACACTTGTGGGTGTAATGCTGCTGTTCTCGAGCAAGTTTATTCTTTAAGGACCGAAGTTTGCAGATGGTATGCTGTGCAAGACCACCTACTGATCTGGGGTTGCTGCAGTATGTGAGCAGAACTGAACTGATTGAAGGACCTGATTTAGTTTTGTTTTTATACATGCGTTCTTAAAGTGCCAAGTCACTGATTCTTTAGTTCTGCTTGCACATCAGCTATTGAAATACCTGAGAGAGGAAGCACAGTGCAGGAAGTAAAATTTCTTAAATGCTTCCAGGCATTATTGTAACACTCTGTGGGGGTTATCTGGAACTAGTGCTACCTGCAAATAATACGTGCTTTCTGATGAAACTCTTATCATCTAACACTGTAAAAAACGTGAAATTTTATTTACGTTTTCTTGTGTATGTATTTGCCTACAAAGAGTGCCAGACTTTATTTCTTTCTTTTAGTAAAAACAGCCACATATAGCAGGAGAAAACCAGAGCTCTGATAAACTCAGTGGTTTAAAACTGAACCTTGGGTAACTGGCTCTGATGTCTTCTCTTCCACTTTACAGGTGACTTAAAGGAAAATGTTTTCTATGTCAATATTTGAGGGGAGAGAGATCTGGGATTTAAGTTGTGGCACAGTTCTGAGTGATACATGCAATTGCTTGGTCCATATGTGTGTTTTAGTTTCCTGAAGATCAGATCATGAAGCATAGTCACAGCAAATGGTTTATAGATGGGCAGCCATCTGTTCTATCATATTTAATTTTGTCTCTCTGTGCTTTATTTCTAAGATTCTGGCTTTTCTGTTTAGGAAAAAAATTACTTCATAGTAGGAAATTATTTCACTGTTTCTTTTATTGTAGTCCGAGGCCAACAAAGTTTACGGAACGCCCTCGGCCCGGAGTCCAAATGATCTGCTCTTCTTTTAGCGCTGGTAAAAGACTGATTTGTTGATTTATTTAATCTTTGTCTCAGTTTAAGAAACCATTTGGAGAATAAAGTGAAGTCCAACGCAGTTACTGTAGCATATTTCTTGTTAGTAAGATGAGACTGAGTTAAAATGGTTACTGAAAGAAATGTTAAATATTAATAATGTTCTGAATCTGTGCATTATTATTCTGGTAATGTAGAAGTTCTGGACAACAGTTGAGCATAACATGTCAAAAGGAAGCTTCTTGGCCACAGTTCTTTAAAAAGTGGTAAAATCTTCTTCCTCAGAGCAATTCTGAAAGTTAACTTCACCTAAAATGGAATTTATAGGGGTTTTACTAAGAAAACATTGATTAGCAGGTTCTTATGCTCTGAACTTCATTGATTCCTGAAACTGGCAATTGGTGAAGAATGCAGTGTAAACAATGAGATAAAATAGTAAAATGGCAGAGAAGTATTTTCAGAATTACTGGAGTTCTTTTTCCATTCTATTTACTCTAAGACTGAGGCCAGTGAGAGCCAAGTCACAAACAAATCACTGTAGTTAGCTAATCTTTTGAATATGTCTCCAGATGCCTATTTATGTGACAACAAATGTGAGGCAATTAAACACAAGTTTAACTTCTGAGTTTCCAACCTTTTTTGGTTTTACTGAAGGCAAAACTGAAATGAGATACAACTGTACAGTTAAGAGAATAAATACAAGTATTTAATCTTAGGCACATCTGAAAATTCTGCAATATCATTAGCTTGCCCATTTTTGTTATTATTACTTACCCGTGTTTTCTTTTCTCAGGTGGAATGTTTTTGGCTACTGGGAGTACAGATCACATCATTAGGGTTTATTTCTTTGGATCAGGTCAGCCAGAGAAGATATCAGAGTTGGAGTTTCATACTGTAAATACTTTATTAAAATTACATATGTATTTGATTTAAATAATGATTTTGTTTAGTTTGGAATCACTTTTGATAATTTTTTTTTTTTTTTTTTGCATAGGACAAAGTTGACAGCATTCAGTTTTCTAATAGTAGTAGCAGGTAAGCAAAACATTTATTTATTCACAGCTAGTCTTTTGACTTGGAAATTTGTAAATATTCTTGATGTAGTTAGAAAAAACAAAGTTTACTATATGAACCTCAACACAGAAAACATCTGTAAGTTGTTTTAAATAATATCTTTCAGCTTTACACCAGTCTTCATTGCAATGAATTGTGTGAACTAAGGAATGCAGAAATATATATTTTTTTTACTTAATATGCATATATATTCTCAGTTTGTTCAGTACCTTTCCTATTACCCAACAATCACTTAAATCAGACAAGTCTTTGTTTAGCTGCCCTTTATAAATGCATCATTGAAATTCTGGATTTTGAATGTGAAGAATGCTAAAGAACATACCTCAGTTTATTGTGAAATTTCTGATATTTCATTCGAATGATGCTGTAACATAAACTTTTATTGCAAAGCAAGCAGTTGGAAAACAAGCTGCATTGTGTTCCTCTGTCCACCTCTTTCTCTTCCTTCTGTCCCCCAAAAAAGTTGAAGAAAAGGTGGGGAAGAAGCTCAAGCTTGTTAGCAGCTGTTCAGAGGCAGTTGTTCAAATAAGTATTGTGATAGATTTTGTGTGTTTTAAATTGAGACTCGGCTTTCAGTTCTTCTCGCACTTGAGTTTTTTCACCTCTTAAATTACTTCCGCAGCTTTTCAGGCAGTGATAGCTGAGTTACAGTGTTACAGTGCTCGCTGGGCTCTTGAGTCCCAATGGCAGAGCAGTGTGGTAGCTCTGCAAGGTGCACTATGGATCCAAGTGCTATTAGTCTCTAAGGGGCTCGTATTAGGGAAGAAAATTCCACTTTTTACAGGCCTTTAAATATTTACTGGTCCATGAAGTGTGTTTTCACCTCAACTTGGTAGTACAGCATTCTTACAATATTTGGACTCCGAATACTTCAGCTTACTTTTCCGAGTTCTGAGTTGTCTAGCTTCCACCTCTTTTTGTGCAATGGTCTTCATTATCTAATTTACTTTTTTCCCCTTTTCTTAGATTTGTGAGTGGAAGCCGTGATGGAACAGCACGAATCTGGCAATTTAAGCGAAGGGAATGGAAAAGCATTTTGTTAGATATGGCTACTCGCCCATCAGGGTAAGTAATATCAAATATTCTGTTACCCCGTAGATACTTGAACTCTGTTGATTTTTATTTGCTGTCATGTTGGGGAAAAAAAAAAAAGCCACCTGTAATGATTATGGATTAAATGTGCAGTATGCTTGTCTAGCTCTTGAAGTCCAATGAAAACAAATATTTAACTACATATTTAACTGTGGAAATTAGTTTGTCCTGATAATAGCTCCATTAGTACATTGGTTAGATTAAGAGAGTAGAAGATACACAAGACACGTTGAAGGCTAAACTCATGCTTTTAACATAGGTTTCTGGACCAAGAAAACCAGGTTAGATCTCTTACTGAGATTTCTTGCATTCTAGTGACATTTAAAAGTTATTGTGGAATCTACATGCCCAGAAAAGGGGTTTTGAGTTCTTTCATACCATGTGCCAGAGCAAATAAGTTACCTGCCATGTAATGGGTTCTCACTTGGCTGGAATAATCTGAGAATTCACAAAGCTTTGTAGGTATGGAAAACTTCTGTACAGTAGACTAAGTGATTAAAAAGGCTTAAGATGGAGACTTTGTAGAAGATAATTATTTATTTATTTTGGAGGAAACATTTTCCAACATTAGATTATTAGAAAGATTTAAAGTGATTTAATGGGTAAATCTTTTCCGTAAACTGATCATATTGAGTGGTTTCAAAGAGTTTATTGAATAAGAATATATATATATTCGTAAGTAATTCCATGAAAGGACATCTGAAAGACTAAGAGAGGGGTGGAAGAGATGGCTAAAAGAGCTCTTATAATTTACTTAAAAGTTTGGATCAGAGGGTATCTTGTTATGGGTAGGCACAATAAAACATGAGTATAGAACTTTTGGATGAAAGTCTGTTGTACATTACCACTAGAAAATGAAATCTGAGTTATTTTTCCTTCAAAATGTAGCCTATAAAAATTACTGGTTTTAACTGATCCTGGAAAAAATAGCAATGGGTTCTTTTTTCATTATGGTCAAAATGCAGAACTTCTTAAGAGAAACTGAGCTGCTTGCTTCAGCCTTGTAGTTGAATTCTCATTTGTCTTTTTTGATTAGGAGAGTAACGTGCAATTCTGCACTTTGTGGTGTGATCTTTTTTTGCATAAGCACAATTTTATCAGAAGTAATGAAATTGGTGCACTGAAAGGAAAGAAAGAATTCAGCCTATAAGACGACTCCTGTGTTCTGCATTGTATCTAGAAAGGAATCTAGCTATAGTGGCATGTCGTACTTTTGAACTGTACACTATTTATAATTAGGTCATGTGTTGTATTTCAATGTAGAGTGCTCTGAAAGTAATGCCTCCTATTTATTTCCGTGAAAACTACAGCTGATACAAAGAGCACAATAACACTTTGGTAAAGCCAATTCTCAGCTACAAAGCACTCATTTCAACATACTCACTGCTATTAGCTGTGCATTTTTGCCAGTGATGAGCTGTGCTTTTAAAAATCTGCACCGATGGTGGTGACCCATCGTAGTAGCTGAAATACATTACACACCACCTCACTGTGCTCACATCCACTGTTTGGTCTCCATCAGTGTTCAACAAAAGTCAGTGAGTGCCAGTGGGTACAATTGTTTTCTGCATGGAGGAAGTCAATTACACACTTTTGCTTCATCTGCACTTCCATGTCAGGTGCCGTGCTGTCAGACTGCCCATCAGCTGCCTTCTGTCAAATCTGTCATGGAGCAACAAAATGGAACAGAATATTGGCAGGAAGGTTCAATCTCTACTGCAGTACCGACATCTACCAAATTATTAAAATAGGAGGCATTACTTTCAGAGCTTCCCTTGCAAATGGAAGATTCTGTATTTTTTGTCCACTTTATTTGTTTGAATTTGGATTACATTTCAGGAGGCTAGTGTTCCATTTTTATAAGGATAAAAAAAGAAAATGCATGCAAGAGTAAGTGCAACTTGCTGATAGTAAAGTGTTATAAGTGTGGTGATGTTATACTCTAAGTTTCCTGAGAATTTTAACTCATTTGAAAGTATGAGAATACTTCTTTCTGTGTTTATAAGTACTTAACACTGATATTCTCCAGGCTAAATTACTGTTCGCTAATTGACTAGTTTGGATTTTTGTTCTTCAGCTAACTCAACAACTGCTATGGAATTAAACTGTAGTTTGGTATATATAATGTAGTTTTTAAAATATTGAGAGGACTCTGTAGTCTTTGTTTAAGAACTGATAGCTCTTTTTTTGATTGTATGTATTGAAAAATGGGTAGCATCTCATATTGCCATGTTCTTGAAGAATTAACACTGATATTCTCAATAATAAAGTAATACACAGGTGTATTATCATATTATCATTTGTTATGGACAGAAGGTTTTTTAGCAGACTGGAATTGCTTTGAAGCTCTTCTTGTTCTTTTGTTTTAGACAAACTCTACAAGGTGTAGAAGATAAAATTACAAAACTGAAAGTGACCATGGTGGCGTGGGACCGCCATGACAATTCTGTTATAACTGCTGTCAATAACATGACACTGAAAGTTTGGAATTCTTTCACTGGCCAACTCATTCATATTCTCATGGTAAGGTGCTCTACCTTGATTTAGCAATCTGAAATGCAGACTTCATGTGTATGTAATCAAAATTCTTCTTCACTCATTTTTCTCTGCAGCTTTAGCAAATGTATTTACATGATTCAAGTGCAGTTAAGATATCTCAGCTGGTTTGTAGAAAATAAAGCTTAAAAGTTGCAAATTGCCATTATTGTTGAGATGTCTGGAACTAATTTTTTACTTTTTTCTTAAAATACTATCTTGAAAGGACAGAAGTTGTTTCTTTTGACGTTTGTTTAGTTAGGCAGATATTTGAAATACCGTTAATAGAGTTATGCTGATTAAACACAGACATTTGTTACTGCAATCTCAACATTCCATGAATACGAAAAAGCAGTCTTCTAAAGAAAATAAAGTTTTTTGCTGATGGCTTTTACTTATTTTAGTTGAGAAAATAGGTAACTGTGAGATGAGAATGTTTTAAGCAAGGTTGATATTAACTCTGGAGGTGTAATTATCTAACTGTAGTATTACAGTTGATTCTTGACTGATTCTAAATTAAATTTCTAATTAAACCATACTTAAGCAAATTGAAGTCTACTAAGCATTAAAACAAAAAATATCAAATTTGAACTCTGGTCTTTTAAAATCATGATGAAAGTTGTGGGACAAATTTGTTCTGAAGCTGTCATACTTGACATACTTATTAAAAATCTAAAATTGCAACTGCATAGAGAATAGTATGTAGATACAAAAAAAAAAACCAACAAAAAACAAACAACAGACTGTAGTCAAAGTAATGGTGAACATTTTCATAGATTAACGATGTAGTTGTTTGCGTTACCATATTGAATGGTATTTGAGATAATCCAATAGTTCATCTTGCTATGTCTTTAATTTCAGGGCCATGAAGATGAAGTGTTTGTACTTGAACCTCATCCATTTGATCCAAGAGTTCTCTTCTCTGCTGGACATGACGGGAATGTCATAGTTTGGGATTTGGCCAGAGGGGTCAAAATCCGGTCTTACTTCAACATGGTAATTACTATGCTTTATGCAGATATGCCAGTGCAGCCTTTCTAAACTTTTTGCTTTTAATACATTTTTGTGTAGGCCATCTTGAGGCATGCATTTGTAATATATAGGCCAAGGTCCAGCATCCAGGAAAGTTGAGAGAAATTTCTGATCGGTGTAGTGGGACAAATACTGAATTTGTAAAATCTGAGAAGTCTTCTGGCTGTATTCCATAGTGTCATTTTTCAACGTGCTTCATCCACGAGAAATTGGAATGCTAGTTTACATTGTCAGAGACATGTGTAAGAGGCAGGGTGACAGAAGCCCTCCTGTAGTACTCTTATCTCCTGCCTGGGAAACCGAGATAAAACCACGTTTATTTTTTTTGTGTTCCTAATTCTTAATCTGGCTAAAACTCTTCAGGAGTCACCTGATCTCATACAGTGTTGTATGCTGCCTCAGCTCTGATTGAATACAATCAGCCTTTCTGTTTAGAGCTCCTCCTCATGCAGGTTTCAATTATGATCTGTTCTGCATTATGCTAGTTCTTCTGGAAGGTGGATGTAACAGGTATTTCTTTCTGCTTATTGATATTAAGTAGGTCTTTATGTGTCATATTCTTCAAAAAGGTATTGTGTTATGCAATCCAGACCTTGCCTACTAGTTGAGAAAATTTGTAGAATGTTGTAGAATAAGCTTCATCCAGCTTTCAGCTGTAGTGGAATGACAGTTTTAGAAGCCAGCATAAGAATCATCTGAAGAAGAGATCTGGCATAGATACACTGGTTTAAAAAAAAAAAAAAAAAAAAAAGAAAAGAGAAAAAGATAAACCAGGCAACCAAACAAAAGAACAAAAATCAGACATTTGGAAATGGACTCTGAACCCAGAGAAAGTTCTGACATGTTCAGTGTACAGAACAGTTCACAGAGAAGAAATTCTACTGAAATCTGTGGGAGAACCTAGACGAGTCCATTCAGGAGCTGTCAGAATCTAAATCATAGATGCCTGGGACTTTGGGCAACCCTTTGAAAAAACTGAACTGTATGAATCAAGGGTGAGAAGAGGCACAAACACTGAAAAAGATTGAAAATCTCATTTGAAAATCTTCAGAGTTGTAAAGAAATGTATAGATAATCAGAAGCTCTTAGCAGCTGATAATACATGCATTGTGTTGGAAATAAATGTGGTAATGTCTGCCTGTTGAGTGAGGTGAGGGAAATTGTAAATCTGGCAATCAGTTTCACTCAAAGATGTGTGAGGCAGGTATCCTCTACAGTGAGAGGTATCTCTACAGTATGTTTCACCTGTGTTCTCTGTCTGATACTTCAAAAGACAAGAGTGGTAATTGGAATGTTTTTTAGATTACAGGGGAAAGGTGCTCCTACAGTGTGAAATTGGATTACTGTTACAGAGCTGCAACTGTTAAATGTTGTTGGTTTACTAAGGTAGTGCACAAATGAGCAGAGCTGCCAGTCTTTTCCCAGCTTCCTAACCAATGTGTCAACTGGGAACATCATTATATTAGCCACTATTAAATTATTCTGATAACTGCTGTAACATTCATGGGCTTGTTCAGTTTGCCATCTCATACTTCTGGAAAACAGAAGGGGATGGGAACGCTTTTACAGATTGGGTTATCTTGAATCAGATGGGGAATATAAATTAAAATAACCAAACCTGAAATTTGAATGACATGAGGTATCTACTTTGCCATTCAAGAACCTCACATCATTGCCTTGCGAAACTGTCAGTAGTAATATAACTAATACTGCCTGTCTTTTTCATGGCAAAAATTCCTGTAAAAATTGCAGACCTTGGAGACATTGGTTGAATTAGAAAAATCTTAGGTGATTATTAGTGATAATCAGTCTAATCATGTATTCCCTTCCTATGTGGAATGCTTGTTATATATAAAACATGTCAAATCCCTAAAGTGGAACTGGGTATTTATTAAGCTCTCCCCAGTCTGAATTCTTTCATTCTCAGCATCAAAAATCAAAGCTTGAGTCAGTTTGAAACTTAATTCCATTTATCCAGTTAGTGAATGTGAAATTGCAAATCCCCTAGCAGCCAGATAATTTTTTTTGTTCTGTGTTGAACTTATATCAAGGCTCAAAAACTTTGATTCCTCTACTTGTTGCAGACAGATGTCACTTGGAAACTGAGTGTCATGCAGAACATTCTCTTTGAGTTTGTTGTTTTTTTTTTTAATTAACTTTGAATTTGCTATTAAGTTAGTTAGCACCATCGCAACTGAATTTGAAACACCCTTGGTTTCTGCCAGATTTTAGTCTTTTTTAATTAATGATAGAGCTTGATCCCATAGGTGACTATCTACACATATGGGCTTACTCTCTGTAAGTATGTATATAATTTATATATTCCATGTTTTCATTTGTACTCTCCACTGTGATGATAGATTTTTGTATAGGTCTTAATTGCACAGCTTGATGTTTTAGTTCATGATCATACACTACTGGCTTAGCTTAAAGACTTTGGTTGGCTAGACTCAAGAAATTTATTCCCTATCCTACCCCAAATAGTGAAATTTGCCATAGGAATGTCAAAACTGAGATGTCTAAAGCTCTTTTAAACAATTTTGAGATTCAGCAAATAAATATTGGAGTGTATTTGCACATGCAAATACAACCATTTATTGTTGTTTGTAGCCTGTGTAATACATTTGCCATTCTTAATTTAATACAGCTGCTATTGTAAAATGTGTTGTATATTTTTGTCATTCCTTTTTTCAAGGAATGAACTGAGTTTGTGGTTTTGGTGATGGAATACTAGGGTAATTTCATGGGTTGTAACTTGCTTGTATAGATGAGCATTTAGAAGACTTGCAAAGAAACCCAGGGTAATAAACCTTAAGTGATTGCTACTGCTTAGTTTTAGAGCTTATATGTTTCAGAAAAACAGTGTTTTTGCTGCAGAAGGACAGCACAAACCTAGTAAATGTTGAAACTGTGGCTCATTACCCAGGTTCACTGAATGACTTGACAGTCTTGGCACCTGAACTCTTGGAGAGTATGGTTGTTAATCTCCAAAGTGGAATGCAATCACCCAGAACATCTTCAACGTACTGAACAGTATGTTAGATTTCAATGTCTTAGTGGACACGGGCAAAAAAAAATGCTGAATGGTAAGCTGTCTTGTCAGAGCTAGTTGGTGATGGAGGGCATAGAGATGCATTTGAATTGCCAATTCTTATTCCAGTCTGCAGTGTGGCATTTGAGTCCCTTGTGTGGTAAGGCAGATTCTCAAAAACAGGAATTAAGACATGGCTAGGAGTTGTATTCAGCTCTTTGTTACTGCCTATTAGTTAAATATTCAGCTAGGAAACAGAACACTTAATTTCTGTTTACTTCTTGGATGGCAAGGTGTTCAATTCAATGCCTATTACTTACCCAGGAGGTTGTCTCATCTGTGAATTTCTAGAATGGACTTTTTCCCCAACATACTCTTGAAGTTGTGCTGCTACAGAGAGGTGTGAATCTTGAATCTGAAGTACGTTGGTTTGGGTACATCTCTTCTAGGTAAATTGAAACCTTTGGCTCCAAGCTTTGTAAAAGCTTGAATTTGCAAGATTAGTGCTCTGTTAGGCCATTTAAAAAATAATAATAAAATGTGTTCACCACTCAGTTGTCATAGTGCCCATTTTCTTTCAGATGTCCTTCCTCACTGAGTTACTTTTTATTCGACTTAAGAGTTTTGGTTTATTAGTATTTGGTTCCAGTATTGTCACTTGAATGGTGTGTGCTGTAACTTGGCCTAATACTTAAAATTCCCATAGGCCTTAACAAAAGTTTCTCAGTTCTAAGAATGTTTGATGGGACAGAAAACTACAGGAACTTGAGAGTCTTCCAGATCAAAAAGGAGGTACTTAATAACATTGGGAAGAGGCAAAAGTCTTGGTTGGTTTGGATTGTTTTTTGTTGGTATTATAATCACACATAAAGTGTTTGAGTTTGACTCCAAATATCTTTGTGGTATTGGAGCCATGCCCTCGATTTTTTTCTTTGATTTCTGTGACTTCCCTTCTGCAATAACTGACAGGGCTGAAGTCTGCTGGCTCAGACTACTTGCAGCAAGCTTTCCTTCTGTCTGGAGCTTTAATGAGTAGGTTTCTCCTGCAGAAAGGCAAATACTACTTGTGTCATGAATGGGCTGCCCAGGAGAAGTATGTTTAAAGGAAAAAAATCTTCCCTAGACTATTTCAGGATATGTACTAAAAGGCCTTTCACTTTGTTGTGTGGGGTTATTTTTTGTTTTTGTGTTTGGTTAATAATTTGGTTTGCAGCATAGCCTAACAGTTGCAGGAACATATGGTGACTGCCATTACTTGCAAGTATGCAGCTGAGAATATGATAACTGTAATACAGTAGCAAGAATGAAGGACTAGGGATGGGTGGGAATTTTCCCAATCTTTGTTAACTGTAGAACTTTTTATTTTTATTTTTGCACTGTTAGCTTCAAATATAATTGCTTGAATCAGATACTCAATTAAATATTCTAAGTAGGCATTCCAATTATTGTAAGCTTTTTATATTGGTTAACAGAGTCTTTCTGACTTTATGTTTAAAATAAAAGCTTTATGCTTAAAATAAAGAAAAACTGCTTTGTGTAAAGTAGAAATTAATAAGCAGGAAAGTAGGAGTACTAATACCTATATTTAAAAAGCAAAAAGGTTCTCCTGATATATTAAAAACCAAAAACTACAACAACAACCCACTCCAAAAACACCAAGCAAGACCAACCAACATCTTACGTGATGAGATGTTGTTCTTCTGACTTCCTGGATTGACTCCTTGCGAGTTGAATCTTGGAGAAGTTAGGCTCTGTACAGCCATTAGTAGGCTTCTTTACATCTCATGTTATGCACATGCCTCAGGAGCTCCTATGTGCTTGAACTTGTAAGTTTCAGACATTTGCTTGTAATCATGAAGTTCTACTCCTAATGCTTGTGAAGAATTCATTTGGATCAATTCCTGTTTCTACCTTAGCTTTAAGACCTCTGAGC